AGGTATGTGTGTGTGACTGCACATGCGCGCAGGTGTGTGTGTGCATATGTGAGTGTGTGTGTGTACGTACACGTGTGTGTGTGTGTGTCTGCACATGAGCGCAGGTATGTGTGTGTGACTGCACATGCGCGCAGGTGTGTGTGTGCATATGTGAGTGTGTGTGTGTACGTACACGTGTGTGTGTGTGTGTCTGCACATGAGCGCAGGTATGTGTGTGTGACTGCACATGCGCGCAGGTGTGTGTGTGCATATGTGAGTGTGTGTGTGTACGTACACGTGTGTGTGTGTGTGTCTGCACATGAGCGCAGGTATGTGTGTGTGACTGCACATGCGCGCAGGTGTGTGTGTGCATATGTGAGTGTGTGTGTGTACGTACACGTGTGTGTGTGTGTGTCTGCACATGAGCGCAGGTATGTGTGTGTGACTGCACATGCGCGCAGGTGTGTGTGTGCATATGTGAGTGTGTGTGTGTACGTACACGTGTGTGTGTGTGTGTCTGCACATGAGCGCAGGTATGTGTGTGTGACTGCACATGCGCGCAGGTGTGTGTGTGCATATGTGAGTGTGTGTGTGTACGTACACGTGTGTGTGTGTGTGTCTGCACATGAGCGCAGGTATGTGTGTGTGACTGCACATGCGCGCAGGTGTGTGTGTGCATATGTGAGTGTGTGTGTGTACGTACACGTGTGTGTGTGTGTGTCTGCACATGAGCGCAGGTATGTGTGTGTGACTGCACATGCGCGCAGGTGTGTGTGTGCATATGTGAGTGTGTGTGTGTACGTACACGTGTGTGTGTGTGTGTCTGCACATGAGCGCAGGTATGTGTGTGTGACTGCACATGCGCGCAGGTGTGTGTGTGCATATGTGAGTGTGTGTGTGTACGTACACGTGTGTGTGTGTGTGTCTGCACATGAGCGCAGGTATGTGTGTGTGACTGCACATGCGCGCAGGTGTGTGTGTGCATATGTGAGTGTGTGTGTGTACGTACACGTGTGTGTGTGTGTGTATCTGCTCCTCAGCGCGGGTGTGTGTGTACACATGCGCGCGGGTGTGTGTATGTGTGCGGGGGTGTGTGCACATGAGTGTGGGTGTGTGTGTGCGTGTGCGTACACGCGAGCGGCTGTGTGTGTGTGTGTGTGTGTATGTATGTATGTATATATGTATGTATGTTTGTACGTGCACATGAGTGCAGATGCCTGGAGAGGCCAGAGAAGTCAGATGCCCTTGGAGCTGGAGTTACAGGCAGTTGTGAACTTCTTGACACAGGTGCTGGGAACCAAACTCAGGTCCTTCCTCTGGAGGACCAATGTATGCTCCCCCACCACCCCCTGGTTTTTCGAGACAGGGTTTCTCTGTGTAGCCCTGGCTGTCCTGGAGCTCTCTCTCTTTGTAGACCATGCTGGCCTCGAACTCAGAGATCCCCTGCCTCTGCCCCAAGTGCTGGGATTAAAGGCGTGAGCTGCCGCCACCTGGCTCACAATATGTGCTGTTAACCACTGAGCCGTCCCTGCAGCCCTCGACATGCTCTTACAGTGTGTTACAGTGTGTTTCAGTGGGCTGTGTCCTCTCCACCCGTAAATGTGGCTTATAGATCTGGTTCCTGAAGTGACCAGGGTCTCCAAGGAGACTTCCTAGTCAGTGGCTCTGCAGTGAGATGGTGACAGGTGACAGGGTAGCCGTGCCCTCCTGTCCAGCACACAGGGCTGCCGTGCCCTTGACACAGGGCCGGTGCAGCCGAGGGTGTGCCAGACGAGTCAGTAGATGTGATCTTCATTCCAAGGTCTTGGCACGGAAAGGAAGAAGTATGTGAAATCGCTGCCATTTTCATGTTGATGACATCTTGAACTGATAATATTTTGGCGCTGCTAGATCAATTAAAACAGGCCACGTGGTTCCTCACATTTTCTCCCTGTGGTAGCTAGAAGTTTAAGGCTCCATCTGTAACTTGCATCTTGGGCCTCGTGCCAGATGGCCGGATGGTGCTTGGGTCACAGTCAGGCTATGTCTCTGACTGGGAGAGCCGGGAACCCTCCCACTTGACGATGGGTGTCCTTTTGGGGAAGCAGCCCCAGGAAGCCCCTTATGCTCTGGGGCCCCTCATCATGATCTGGACACCCCCATTTGATAGTCCTAGAGAGGCAGAGCAGCATAAGTCACCCTGTGCAGGGCACCCCTGTGTCACTTCCCAGACCTGGAATCTGGAGAGGGGCTTGCTGGAGCTGCCCTCAGGGGGCCTTAGAAAGCTGGGGACTGTGTGAGGTTCAGAAGGAAGCAAGCCCTGTGCCCCCAGGAGGGACAGCCAGAAGGGCAGTTGGTGGTCAACTTTGACATGGGTTTATAGGAGCCCCTCCATCTTTTTCTCTACTGACTGCCAGGGCATGGTGACAGGAGGGCGGGAGGGGGTTAGAAGGGGAGCTCCTCCTGGTTTGAAGGGGACCTGCTGTTTTAGCTGTGACTGTAGTTGGTGTATCAGCTCCAGACAAGGAAGGCAGATTCCAGAGATCTGCGTGATGGACCAGAGGCCTGGGGTTCCTGTATTTGGCTGGTAGGGCGGAGCTGGGCTGAGGATGGAATATGAGAGCCTGCATACCCCAGGAGAGGCTTTGGGGCATTGAGGTCACATGGGGAAATCTGTCACTGGCCCCAGGCCCCTCCAGAGTTACCAAAGGCTTCTCTCCACTTCAACTGATTGCACTGCTCTAAGCAAATCTCCAGTCCCACCCCCAGCTCTCCCAGTGTGGGAGCTGGCCTAGGGCCACCATGGCCATGCCTGAGCCTGGGAGTGACTCATTCCAGGTCAGAGGTTATGGGGTTTGGCAGATCCCATCCTCCAGGCCCAGCCCCAGAAGTGTCAGCTCCTATCCTTTGGACCCCCTGGCTCATCACTCTCAGGGTCCCAGAACATCACGGGGGTCTGCAAGGAGCTGGAGGAGGAGACTACTGACTCATTGCCCAACCCCCAAGGAGGATCAGGAGCAGTGGGAAGAAGCAGGCGTCAGAACACATTCAGAGTCCCTGAGGCTTCAGAGCAGAGAGCCAGGGTGAGCCAGCCCCAGCCCCGGGGTCCTGGCCTCTCCTGCTTCCCCCTCCTTTGGTTGCAGCCAGCTGAAGCCCACTTGAGCACGATAGCTGTGCTGTCTCAGCTGCCCAGAAGCCTCTTGGGGTCAGGGCTTTGGGAAAAGGCGAGCCCTACCAAAACACAGAAGGCTGGCTGAAAATCAAGGTGCGTGCCTGTTGTCTGACGGGCGGGGGTGGACCAGGCCGGGTACCATGCACAGGGTCAACGGAAAGCCATCCAGGCTGGGAAAAGGTCGCGTGGTTCTGGATTGGCACAGACGTGGGCAAACACAGGTTAAAGGCTAGGGCTGCAGGGCTACTGTGTACCCTACCATTTTCCTCTTAGTGGCCCAGACTGCTCCTTGGAGTGTTGAGCGCAGAGGCCCTTGGGCTCACCCTGCCGCTGTCGCCTGCAGCCGGTGCGCCTCTCCCCGCCTCCTCGTCCCCTCACCCTGCCCCTCGGAGCAGTTCCCCATCAAGCCTCCCTCCGCAGGCCGTCCTGAGCCCTCCTACCTCTCTGCCCCACACTCTGGGAGGCTCCTTGTTCCGAGCCCACAAAGCCCCTTTGATCCTCTCTCGGCTCCGAGCCATGTGACCCGGTGGGCGGGCCGCAGCTCTCCAGCGTCCAGGCAGCCCGACTTTCAGCTGCTGGGGTGAGTCCTCGCTCTTTGTTCTTCCAGCCTCACAGCTCGCTCCGGGGGCCTCCAGGTGGTGGGGCCCGCCTGGCCGGCCCCGATGGGTGCAGTAGGGCTGGGATCCAGGTAGCCCCGGGACCTTGGGCTCTGGCTGGGAGTCCAGCCCTGGGTTCCTGGGAGAATGGGTGGCGGGATGCCGGGTCTCCACGCGGGAACCAGATTTTCGATCGCAGAGTAGAAGAAAAGGGGGCTTTGTGTGGTCACAGCTATCTCTTTGTAAATGTTTGGCCAACTCCACCGAGTGATAGGGAGTGTCTTCGAGCACGTTGCCCCCGCAAGGGGCATTTGATTTCCAGCCGCGGGCAGGAGCAGAGGTGAATTGGATGCTTATTGCAAAAATCTCTCCAGGCAGCTTGTAATAGTGGGCGGCTTCCAACGCTGGCTGGAAATTAGTTACTACCGGCTCTTAGAAAGGTGGTGAAGCCGAGACCACAGGGGTGAACTGCGATGTAGACACCGTCAGGCAATGTGTGTGCCGCCTGTCGCTTTGGGTTCTTGAGGTGTACTGGGCCCAGGAGGGTGTTGCTGGGTGGGGTGGGGATTTGGTATGCGTTTGTTTTGCTACAGAGTGTGCGATGGGGGTGTCTGTCCTCTGGAGCCATGTGTTGGAACCTGTGCCGGGTGTCAGAGCCACGCCAGGCAGTGTCCTCCAGCAGGTTTTGCAGCTGAGAGCTGTGAGGGACCCCAGCCGGAACACAGAGTGGTCCCTGGCACCCAGGCAAACGCCTGAAGACTGCGTGTACCCCCACCCCCACCGCTGATCTAAGGAAAAGTTGCCGGCTCTTGGTCAGAGGCCTGGGGAACAGAATGTGTGTTCCCCAAGAGAAGTGTGAGATTCTTTTTCTTAGAGAAAAAAAAAAAAAAAAGCATCACCCGAAGGAAGAAGTCCAGTAGCAGGTTCTGGTCACGCTGTACTGGGCAGACTGGGAATTTGGTTCTGATCTCATGTGGGACACTCAGAGGACAGCAAAATTCCCTGCAGCCGTGTGGGGCCTATTTTATTCACTCTCTGCTTCTAGCATCGTGGGGCTCTTGGGACATTTATACACTTATATCACGTTTTACACATTTATACATTTATATCACCCACTCTGCTCAGCTTCCCTTGGCAGCCAGGAGGCTCCTTTTCAGCAAACAGGGGAAATCTAGGGAGAATGTGAGCATCAAACCTTCAGGATAGGCAGCCAGCCTCCACCCAAGGCCTGCTGGGAAAGGTGGCTCACCCTTCTCTTCTTGGGTCTCTTTCAGGATATGAGGTAGCTACAGAAGGCAGCTTTGAACTCACAGCGATCCTACTGCCTCAGCTTCCTGATGCAGGGGTTACAGGTGAGCACCATGCCTGGCTAGGACTTTTCAAGCATTGCTCTCTGGAGATCCCAGCTGTGACTGACCTGGCCCGTCCCTTCAGTCCCCTGGTCATTTCTATATTGGTCCATCCCAGGTTCTGCCACATCTACTGGAGTGTGTTTCTGTGTCTACCGGGTGGTCCTTGTGGGCCATCATGGTGCTGGCTCAGCTGGTATGAAGAAGAACCTACAGTGTGTGGGATGCTGGCAACCCTAGGTGGAAGCCAGCTGTGGCGAGGAGGTCTGATTTCCAGGGAGGGCCACGTGCAGCAAGTGTGAGACAGTCCCATCATGCCAGGTCTAGGAAGGGCCTTCTTGGGCCTATGGAATCTCCTCTGAGCACCAGACCCACTGTCCTTATCTGTGACAGCGGCTCTGGGACATTGCCGCAGGAGCCCTCTACCCATTGGGCAACCACAGTGCTGTTGCCTGTACTCCCCGCCCCCTCCCTTCCCTGCCACAATATCCTCCCTGACTTCCTGTTGTGTCATTGCTCTTGTCAGATAGGGTGGCTCTGCCGGGCTGAGGTCCCCTTGTGCAGAGAGGGCCCCATGGCCTGGGGCGGCACAGATTCCCTGCCTGTGTCAAAGGTCTCTAGGAAGCCCGCACTGAGGCTCCATTTCCGTTCTCCCATTCCTTCACAAGGCACAGTCTCTACTGGCTTTCCCACACCACCCCGGAAATTTCTAGGCTTCCTCTCTCACTTGCTGACCCTGTGTGTGGGAAGATCAGCTTTTATTTTAATGCAAATAGTCAAAAAACCCGTGGCTGCTGGCAGAGGCTAGGTGGGCCTCCTGCCTCCTTACCATCCCCCATCACTGTAGGCTAGGCCAGTATTGCCAGCCGGGCTTTAGGAATGGCCTGGGAGTGGTGCTCCACAGAGAGGGTCCAGCCTCTTCCAGGTTGGTCTTTAGAGGAGTTTCCATCCACCTCCCCCTTAGCCAGGTCTCCTCCTCAGATCCTGCTTCCAGCATTGAGCTTTGATTTGTTTATTGAGCGCCCGCCCGCTCTGTTCCTTGGGCAGGTAGAGACTTGCAGTCCGGAGCTCCAGAGCCTTGGACTCCTTCCCAAGGACAGCTTCTCGAGGTGGCTGCTGTGCGCACAAGCTGCTGTGTGTTTTGTGAGGGCTCCTGCCTGCCTCTGAGGAAGTGGGCATTTCTGCACTTGCTTCGGGAGACTTCTACCTTTATGGTTTCTGGGGTGTGGATCCCCACCCCACCCGTTTGGCTGCATGCTGAGCCTGCCTATGCCTGGGGGGTCCCTTGGTTCACCTGCCTTTTCCTTTCTGTTCTCTGCCATGCACCCCGAGGAGCATGCCGTCCCAGGCTGTGAGCCGGGTAAAGAGGGCTGTGTACTAAGGCCGGGGAGCCTGATCTCATCTTCCTGCAGCCTCCCGGAGCTGCTGTCTACACTCATCTGGTTCCACCGCCCACCCCTGCAAGATGAGCTCACTCTCCTATTGGGCCCAGCGCACTTCTCCTTGTGGACTCCCACTGGCACCTGGCTGGAGTGTAGGGCCTTGGCTTTCTGTGGGGCTGGTGAGATGGCCCACTCGGTTAAGATTAAGATGCTTGCCGGCATGCTGGGCTGTGTTCTGCACCTCCTTTAATCCCGGCCCTCAGGAGGCAGAGGCAGGCTGGTCTCTGAGTTTGAGGCCAGCCTAGTCTACAGAGTGAGTGCCAGAATAGCTAGGACTACACAGAGAAACCTTGTCTTCAAAACAAAACAAAACAAAACAAGATGCTTGTCAGCCTTGACAATGTGAGTTCTATCCCTGGACTCCACGTGGTAGAACTGTTGTCTCTGACCTTTATACGTGGGCGCTTACACACACACACACACACACACACACACACACACACACCCACACACACACACACACACACACCCACACACACACACACACACACACCCACACACACACACACACACACACCCACACACACACACACACACACACACACACACCACACACACACTAAAATTTTTATTAAAAGATACAAGGGCAGCTGACTTAAGTACGTCTGTAGATGTTCTAATCTGTGTATAGTGAGTGGATGGCTCTTGCCCTGGACTCCGCCCCCTCCTAATTGCTTAGCAACTTCTTGAAGCCAAGAGCTGGGGGTTGGGTGGGGCACAGCAACCCGAGATGCCAGCCCTCGAGCACCTCAGGCTGCTTTTGGAATCCCAGCTGCTGGCTGGTCATATGAAGACTGATACAAAGTCACTGACACCCTTGACTTCAGTCTTCCTACTTCTGTCAATTTCAGGTGCCTGTCCTGGGGGGTGCTCCAGGAAGTCTCTCCCTCTTCTTTTGAGCTTTTGAGGCAGGCACTTGCCTAAAACACCCTGTATGCCCAAGGACATTCTGTACTTTTGATCCTCCTGGGGGCCGAACCCCAGGCTTTGTCTGTGCTAAGTGAGCACCCCATGCTAAGTGAGCACCCCACCAGCTGAGCTGTAGCTCCATCTCCTATTTGGTTATTTGAGACAAGGTCTGATTCTGTAATCCAGGCTGGCGTCCTGCCTTAGCCTCCCAAGTGCTGGGATTACAGGGGTGTGCCACCACGTGTGGTTTCTGCCTTGCTTTTGGGTGCTGGGTGCTGAGCATACCTTGGTCACCAGAGGTCGTAGGGACAGTTGTCTTTCCATGGTGGAATGTGTTCAGAGCTTTGTCCTTATCAGGCTGTCTTATCTCCCAGGCCTTGTTCCAGGTGCCTGACACCACTGGAGGCAGAGATAAGATAGGCCCTGCCAGGCAAGCCTGGTCCAACCAGACTGCTGCTACACAAGTCACCTGGCCAGGTCTGGCCCTGAATGTGGCTGTAGCAGGCCCTCCTGTTCAGTGGTGATCTTTTTTTGCCTGTTTGCCCTTCTCAGTAGCCACTAAGATTTATCGATCTGTATCCCCATTCTGGATGACCTAGGCGCTCATTTGGTTAATGTTTGAGTAAATGAGCGGCCAGCCTCGTGTGACCTCAGATCATCTGCTTCTGTCCAAATGCTCTGTGGTTCCACCGAGGTTAGCCCAGGAGCCTTGTGGGGACTCTCTTCCCTGCCTTTCTCCCAGAACTTGGTGGCTTGGTGGCAGAGTCTCTGTAGGGGTGCCTGACTTTCTGCTTGGTGTGTGCGTGCATGTGTGAGTGCATGTTTGTGTGTGTGTGTGTGTGAATCTTGGGGACTATCTGTATTTTTGTATTTTGGTCTCATAAGTTTTATCTGGAGTTTACTCATTCAGTCAGGCTGACTGTCCAGGAGAAAAATCTACCCACCTCCTTCCCAGTTCTGGGTTTACTAGTGCCACACACGTGTCTCTCAGTGTGGGTTCTTAGGGATCCAGCTCCGATTCTCATGTTTGTGCAGTAAGCCCCTAACCCATGGAGCTGGCCCCCAGCCCCAGAGCCTCCTTCTTATCAGAGGATAAAACAAACTTGTTGTGCAAACTTGGTTAGGCAGTGAATGAGGTTCCCCCATTGAATCGCCCTGGGCAGAGTCAAAGTCCTGGCAAACCTGAGGGGCGGGCGGATTCTGTGTCCCTACCTCCATGTGGGAAGGTTGGCTGGACTCCCTGGGACCCAGTGAACCTCCCTGGCATCCAGGAGAATGGTTACTTCCCTCTTGCTAGTGACTTCCCGAGTGTGGCCAGTGCAGAGCACGTCATGAGGGAGGAGGCTGTTGTCCCTGCAAGTTGGACCCTTGGCTATCGGTTCATCCACTGTGCACCAGGGCCTCCTGGACAGTGGCAGAGTTGCTTTCCTGGGGTGGATGGAGCTAGGCCAGCCCATCCACATAGAACATGGAGAGGAGAGCTCTACGTGCCCTGGGAAGCAGCTGCTGAGAACCAAGCATACAAGATAGGCCTTCCAGAAGTTTCTGAACCCACTGGGTGATAACTCCCAGTGCTTGAAGTGGAAGTGGCGCCTGGGGTCCTAAGATTCCAACTGTACTGGACAAGGCAGCTCTGGTGCCAGGCAGCAGGGAGGGGCTGCTCGGGTTTTGGCATCGTCGGTGTGTGTGTGTTCATGGGACAGAGTGTAGGCCCCAGGATCGTGGAGATGTAGCAAGTAAGGAAAGGTCGGGGGTGTCCCCCACAACCAACAGCTACTTTGAAAGCTGCTGTCCCGTATGCCTCTCCCACACGACCCTCCCTCAGGCCTTGCCTGCTTCCTGCCCGCCCACCCGGGAACAGCCAGGCTGCTCCCAGACTGGTGCCCAGCTGTCTTTTTGCATCCTGCCAGGTGTCATGGCCGCCTCCCAGCCTGCTCAGGGTTAACTGTAGTATGGACTCCCCGTTGCATCTCCCATGGAGTCCCGAGGCTGCCCTGGAGGCCACAGCCACCTCGTTCTTTCACTGGTTGGCAGATGCTTCACAGTTCTGTGGAGCATCTGTCTGAGTGTAGGATAAGCCATTGCGACTGTGACCCACTCTTGTGCTGGGAGGACTTTGCCACTGCGGCCAGCCAGGCCTATTGTCACATTCAAAAGGAGAAGCACAGATGGCCTCCCTGCCTGGCCTTCAGTGTCGCTCTCCACAGGCTGAGTTGTCAGCAGGGTCCTCTCTGTCCCTAGTGCATAGGAGCTGGAGGAGCTGGCCCCTGAGAGGTCTGGGAGTTTGGGGGTAGTGCAGGAAGAAGTTATGGACGCCCCTACCTTGTGCCTTGCTACATCAGCCCCTCTCTCTATTTAACCTTGAACCATCCAGAGGTCCCTCTCCCTCTGGTGCCATGTGTAACAAGTGGGCTTACTCCACACCTATGAGGAAGGAGGCCATGCCCTCCTGGGAACAATCATCGTGTGGGCTCAAGGACCCTGTTGCTCCCCTCCCCCCAGCCCTTGCTTCTGGATCCCTTAGCTCTGGATGCAGAGACCTGCAAGGCCTGGGCTCTTGAGTCTTTGGAATGGGAGTGGGAGCCAGGTTTTCCCCAGTGTCACTACCCAGAGACAGCAGAACATACAATTAGCCCTTTCCTGTGTGCCCGG